TCGTAATCAACAAATCGACTGGTCGGCTGCCGACGTGCACATCAGTCATCGATACCAGCAGACTAGTACAGTAGTAGTATTACTTTTTACTACAACAGTACAAGAAGAGTAGGATAGCTCTCTCTCAGTCTCTGTTCTCTCTTTACGCGGGGTGATACTGCACCGGCCGAGCTGCGAGGTGTATCAGCGCCATTCAGCGGTCACGTCGTCTTTCGCTGCCATGCGCCACATGCCTGTTCGCATTTGACACTCAGAAAATATGGCGACAGAAAAATGTGTCCGAAAGGCTTTTTCGCTGAAGGTACAACGGAATCGGGAGTAACGTCGACGTAACTGCTATGCCTTGCCAACGAAATAAAATAATTGACACAAGCGTGTCAGCAACAGGTGGGTCTACTACAGACTACAGCCAGTCACCATCACTCTGGGGATCATCCACTAGCTACACGATGTAGATCTACACGTAACAGACATAAATACAGTCATGATGATTAATTTTCAGCATGAACAGAAGCACTAGAACTAACTATTAATATTTTACTTGTATGTAGGAGATTCGACATTTAGGGGAATCTCTTTGGCAAAAGGACGCGGTATTACTGAGTGATTCAATCGGCTGCGACTTGAGAAGATCAGTCTGTCCCCGAACAGCCTATTCTGTAGTGACCTTCGCTATCGCGTTCAGCTCATCAGATTTGTAGACTTTGTGTGGTGAGACTCCAGAAGACGCTCGCCGGCACGCCGGTGATTCGGATGCGAGAAGAGCAAAGTGACTTTCAACAAAGTAAAATCGTGCGTCGTGCGGGCCGTAGTGCAGCTAGTCAGTCGTATGGATTATCGGACGCATGCCGAAGCCAGGAGGCAGTGCAAACAGTGCCAGTAGGGTTGTCGTCGAGGATCGATTACACACAGACGCGGGGATTTGCTACATGTCTACCAGATTTATGTGAAACACTAGCACAGAGGTAGCTGCGATTACTGGCTATGGACGAGCAGCAGGCTGTGAAATGGAAGCAGCGTGCGCTGAAAGCCGAACTGCTCCTGGAGACGATAACGAATCGCGTTGCTGAAGTGCGTGCTGCGTTCAGCTCCAAGGTGAGCTATCTGGGTTTTTTTTTTAGGATTTCACTGTCTTCCAATATTGAAAATTGGTGATAATTATTTGCGGAGCTATTTCCGAATGGAAATGAGCGAATCGGTGATGAGCGGATGTAGATATGTACAAGTCGCCTGTGGCGTCCACCTATCCTTACGAGTCGTTCCAAGACCGTTTTCTGTTGTCAGGAAACAAAGTGCCTGCCTGTCGTCCTGTAACGTGTACTCGTGTAATGGTTTTGTCCTCGCACGTGTGTATTGAAGGCCCTGCAGCGAATCTCGTTCCATCCCCTGTACTGCGCAAATATCAGCTTTCTACTAATTCTAGAATCTAGTATTATCTAGGGCTAGATTAACACTACTGTCAGTGCTCCAGTACTAGTAGTACCCAGTCGAGACCTGCCATGAATCCATGATGCTGGCTCCGCTGGCTTCCTCCTTTGCTATGTTCGTGAGCGGTGGAGGGGACACAATCGGCCGGCGAGCAACGACGTTTGTCATGAATTAGCTACACTTGGCAGACGTGACAGCACTGGAGATGGGCCCGTTGCCGCTGCTGTTGCTTCTGCTGGCCGTGGCGATCGTAGTGGGGCTGATTGCATTTCATTTGCCAATGGCATGGCTCGCTGAATGCTGCCTTGTTGAAAACCTTTGAACGAGCCTGCCGGTAAACGTGTTGGCTCAGAAGAATATATCAGCGTCGCTTGCAAAGGAGCCATCCACGACCAATGCATGCTAATTTCAGGGGGTGACTGGCCTGACGGATGTGGTTGATGCTGTGTGACCAGTACTAGAACTAGAATTGAGGGTTGTAAAATCAACGTAAAGAGCCAAATGAGCGCCTAGTAATAGTAGTATTGTCAATATTGAGTACTGCATAGGATGATTGAGTGACCAGTCCCTGGATATCTGCTGCTCCCTACTGGTAGTACATGTACTAGCACTAGCACCGATGCTTGTCTGTACACGTGAAGTATTCTATGTCACTGGTAGAGTGTCAGGCAGATTGAGAGCTTGTGGCGTAGTGGTGGTGAGACCCAGGCAGGCAAACCAAAGGTTCTCCGACCCAGTCTGAGTCTGACTGACGTTAGCAGCAGACTTTGCTGGTGCAGATAACAGTGGTGGTTGTTACCTGAAGATGGTTTCTTGTAGCGCAGGGCTGGTGACTTGACCAGAGTGTGCATGGGCAGCAGCAAAGCCAGTGAGCTTAGTCAGTGTGCAGTGTGTGCCTGATACTCGCCACTACACTCACATTAGTAGTGGTGTTTGGACAACTAAGTCACTGCAATTTGGGTCAGTTGGAGTGCTACTGCAGTGCAGGTACTGCATCACAGATTCTGTAGAAGCCAGGCACCTGGTTGAGTACTCCATAGAAACAACAGCATCAATCAAATTCAGTGATAGTAGTGGTAGTAGTAGCAGTGCGATGGTGTTTGTGGCATGGTGAGCAGCTGACAGCCATGTCTGGACATTTCCTAGCCAGACCTTCGGAGCAGAATGACTGGCTCTCGCAGGCCACTGTCTTGCATCCCGTCACGGTGGAGCGCGGTGATGGAGATGCCACCACACCGGTGGGGTGCTCTTTACTAGCCGTACTCCGTGCTGCCACCGCCGCTGCACCTCGTAGCAAGAGTCCCGTATTCCAGCGTATCAGACCAAAAACAACACGCCGCCGCAGACTGGTTAGGGAAATACATGTTTTTTTAATGCGACAAAATGTACTTCACGCTACGCCGTGTTTTGTTTGAGTCGTGACTGTCTTGTTTGTCTTGTATGCTTTGAATACAAGTACATGTAGTGCACCACATGTGCTAGCAGTACAGTGCGTGTAAGTGTATGTGTGTGCGTGTGTGTCTGTGTGTGTGTGTGTGTGAGTGTGTGTGTGTGTAAGTGTGTGTGTGCGTGTGTGTGTGTGTGTGTGTGTAAGTGTGTGTGTGCGTGTGTGTGTGTGTGTGTGTGTGTGTGTGTGTGTGTGTGTAAGTGTGTGTGTGTGTGTGTGTGTGTGTGTGTACATGGTACATGATACGTGTACATCACTAAGGAACATTATACGTGTATGCACTAACAAATAGCCATACACAGTTGGAGATAACCAAAGCGCTCACAAAATGTCATGCTGACTAATACAGTTATAAATAACCTTTGGGGGAATTCCATTTCAACTGGTTACATGCATTTTCAGAAACTTGATTTGGTGCCAGGTTACTGTTAACATGACAGTGTCAAAGATACATGCCCTTTAAAAAAATAATGAGATGAGAATGGAGAGTAGCTCTCCCCCAGCATGATCAGTGCTGTGAGATGCAGGGATTCACCTGTCATTTTTCATGTATTCGTAGGATGGACCTGGATGGATCTGAAACAAGCCTTTCTGTGCATGCCTCATAGTTGATACATGTATGACCCCCCCCCCCTCCCCAGTGTCTTAAACGCATGCTCTTCACATGCCAAAGGTGAATGCGTAGTTTTCTGGACTCCAGTTGACCGACATACAAGACACACATACACATACTCATAGAGGAGGTTGTCTAATGCTTAGACACTCCATAGATCCTTCTCTGCATGGCAGCTACTTGTTTGGCTGTGTCATCACTTTCGGATTAGCATCCATGCCTTCGATCACTAACAACTTTAATAATAGCCAGAACCACCCTAGGCTGGCCCGGATTACTGGTGTCGTTGCAATGTATGTGCTGAATGTGAAGATTCAAGAAAAGCATTTCATGCCATTCTGCACAGTCATATCGTAACGGTTGAGTATTAACTTTGACTCCGTTGTTCCTGTTCCCGGTGCTGTGGTAGATTGAAGAGCTCGAAGCAGAGAAGAGGGAAGTAGAAGAGAGTTATGAGGAGAGCCAGGCGCAGGTATGCCATGTGTACGTGCGTAAACATACTCTGCCTGGCTGCCGCTCCACGCAATATGCGTGTACTGCATGCATGCATCGTGTAAAAGCACCGTGCAGTGAAGTCCTGATCACTATGCATATGTACAATATATTGGTGCAATATGTCGGCATGGTGTATACACACTGGCAGCTCAGCCGTATGCTTGATTCCACACATGAGCCGCCAAGAATGAACAACACTATAAGTACGTGTATGTTCAGTCAAACCTCTTAAGACGACCACTCTGTTAAGAAGACTACTCTGATAGGGCAACCGCCTGCCCTTGGGGACACTCCAGGACCAAAGGGCATCACTTTATAACGATCCATGTAGGCATGCATGTTCAGAGTCTTCCTAGTAAAATCTCATCCCTCCTTCTCCCTGCGACTGAGATTCATTTTTCACTTACATTCCTGCTGTTGTGTCAGATTGCAAAGCTAGAGGCAGCCATTGCCGAACGCGATGATAAAATTGCTCGCCTATGCAAGGAAGTTGCGGAGGAGGTATGTATGACCTATTGTTCTGCGTTCTGATCTTTGCTCTTCATACATTCTTCCATGTTGATGCCTGCTTTAGTACGGCATTCTCTCTTTCACGAAAATAATTTCTTACTAAAATGCATTCCTTCGCCGCATCTACAGTATACAATCTACTATTTGTTAGGCTTGTGCAGTTAGCCACAGTCCTTCACTGGTCATGATTGATATGCGTAACAAAACTTCCTTTTCGTGTTCTACACTCCCAGAAACAACTTCGCCAGACTGACGCAGAGGCGGTTGCTGCTCGGGCCGAGCAAATCCGCACCTGGGTTGGAACGAAAGTCACTGAGGTAACCAGCATTATGTGTTTGCACTTGAGTTGACGATTACCGTGCTGTATGAGGGAGTGGGAAGCAGTGGTGCAACGCATTCATGTTTATCAGCACAATAATATACTGCATGTCATGTATCTGACAGGCTGGTAACATAGGCATGCTCCTTTCTTCTTCTTTCTAATTCGCAGCTTGAGCAAGAAAACAAGCGGCTTCAGGAGTCTTTGCGACAGGCGGGTAAGCAACGGTATCCGGTCCATGATGCTAGTGGAGATCTGACCTCGTTTAGCTACTTGTATTCATTCTGCCGACTTCACTTGGGCAAACCAGTCGGTTGTTCCAGAATCGAAGCATTTGCCATCTCATCACGGGTTCATTAAAAGTAGAATGGTCAGTACACGCCGGTGGATGGACCCATCTAACACGCGGATAATCAATGTATGGTTCACTGCCGGCACACACTCTTGCAAGAAGGCTTCTGGCCATTCAGGAATTCATGCCGGGTGCTCTCAATACCTTCACTGGTCAAGCCCAGATCAGACGGTCTAGCTCGTACATGCCAGTACTAACATCGGGTCTGCTTTCTTTTGTGAGAGATTGTATGCAGCAGTAGCAAGCTACCTTAGTCAGTGTACTCCTCCTGCCTTTATGCTGCAGCTTCATTTTCACTCATGGGCGATAATTATGATGATAGATAGTGGTGACCAGGGGGTTATTGATGTCTGCAGCTTGAGCAATTAGGGGTATCAAATATTACTTTGCGCTGCCTGTGTTGTTCATTGCAGTTTCCGGATCCAAAAATCCGATATCCCCGACTAGCCATGGGTATGACTCGGTGCGACAATCGTTTCACGAGTATGACTACCTTCCACAGTTCACGCTCACAGGCTCTAGTGATGCACACGAGTACGAAGAACCGGATGATGAATTCAAGCGCCGGTTTTACTCGACAACTCCACCAGCTGCACCCCAGCATGGGGTTCACCCTCAGCCCGTTCCTCCTCGGCGTGAGTCGGCTGGCGCCATACACAAGCTGTCGCCGAAACACATCGTTCCAGCCATTTCTCCGCTGCCAGCTCCTGATTTCCGAGCGTTAGAGCCAGGCCGTCCCGAGAGACCGCCAACCCCAGACCTGGCACTGCTGTCACCAGGTGCGTCTCCTCTGCCCGCCAGGCACCAGAATCACTTCATCTTTGGCAACTTTGAACAGCTGAAAAAGTCCCGTTCAGAATCGGATCTATTAGATGATAGTGCCCTGATGAGCCCGCTGTCGCCTTCAGACCGAAACAAGCGGTCAAATCCAGAGATTGCACAACTGCAAACACGGCCCAGTAAAAAGCCTCGCCCGCTCCCTCGTCGACTTGCGAACGGCAATGTGTCGGTTCGAAAAACGTCTGAACCACCTGAGCCCGGTTCTGTCCTGAAACCGGCAATCATACCCCGGCGCAGGGCAATCACTGATGGTGATCTTCTTCTCGGTCCGCTGTCGAGGGAGAGAGAGGACGAATTTGCGAGGTTCTCCCATGTCACTGATCCATATGCACGTGTGAAGAAGCGTAGTAAAAGTGAGGACAATAGCACTGTCGTCCAGGCATCTGCAGGTGTGCCTATTCCAGACCGACCAAAAAAGAATATTTATTATCAACTTGAAACGCCACTGGAAGAGGTGCCCACTGGGAGCAGTCCCGAGAAAGAAGCGGATACGGCGGAAATCCGTTCTCGTAGCCCGCTGCGCTTTGCGTCCGCTTCGTCGGAGGCAGCGTCGCCGCCTCCATCACCTGGCTTCCTACAGCCTCTGTCAGCATTCACCTCTGTGAACACGCTACCTCGTGGTGGTGATACCTGGTCACGGGAATCGTGTGCTCTGCAGCATGACTACTCCAACATAGAAGTGAGACCAGATCACCACACGAAGAGCAACGGCCTATCGAATGGCGGTGGTGGCGTGATGATGGAGCATCAGTCACTGCTTCCCGTGTCATCGTCCGATTCCGCTCTTGGTACGCTGGATAAACCGAGCAATGTGAATGGAGGTGATAAGGTTATGCCAGCCGGAAGTCCTCCAGCAGTCGGTTCAACCAAGCCAGAGTTGGTAAGCAGTGAAGTCAGAGGGCAAGCTCCATTGTATACCTAGCTACAAGATTGTGTGCAGCATGTTTAGCAAGGAACCTACAGGGATGTTGACTGCATGAAAACATCAAGAATGCCTCAGGTTTCACTCATTTCCTACCCTGTCTTGAAACTGTTGTCATACTCCACTGCTCCTGAATAGGAATATGACTTGACTGATAGATAGATAGAAGAAGTGTCCATGATGACATTGTGTTACATTCTGTCCCCAGCCCAAGCCGCAGCGGAAGCCACCTCCACCGCCTGTTCTGCCAAAGAAACCGCTCCGATGTAAGTGATACACACTGGAAATTCCTTACCCATGTAAAGTACGCTGGTCAGTGAAATCATGACCAACCACTTGCATGCTTTCCCGGGCCCAGTTAAAGTAGCACCTTATGCATTTGAGGTTAAGAACACAGAACAGGGCCTTGATCCACAATGCGAAATGTACACTGAAGAAGTTTTGTGTCAGTGTTGCGAATATGAACCCAAGCTATGCGTATTTGCCTGATATTGGATAGCGCTTAAGGTTAACTCTTTTTTAAACAATTTTGATGTATTTTTTCTTCAGCAAATGGACTTGCGGCCATCCCAGCATCAGTTCCAGTAATATCTCACATGCTTGGTGCAGATGAGGTGAGTAACAGTCAACTATGGGTCAGCCTGGGGGTAAAGGCAACAACAGTTTACTTTAGAACGGGTAACTATTGCGACGTAAAAATGTTTGCAAATTTTGCGAGAGGCCCCGAATCGCAAACTTTGAACAACGCAAACTCGCGCCGTGTAAAGTTCAAAGAAGTATGTATTCAATATGTATTCAATTGCAAACATTAAACAGCGCAAACCAGTCTCAATTTGTAAAACGCAAACATTTATTGTCGCAAACGTTACCCGTTTTACAGTACTTGAAATTCGCATGGATTTTGAGTTGCTCGATCCAGTTGCCAATACAGTGATCAGTCCAGTGTGTGCATTAGACTGCGCAGTTACCAGTGTGCACCCAAGAGCAGGCAGTGACTGCTTCGTTGACCACCGTTTTACCTTAGTGCACAAATGCGGCATAGGGCATAGGGCATAGGGACTAAAAAGGTAGTAACAGCTGTTGGAATAGTTCTGGATGTGGTAGACACAGGACATTTACACGGGAGAAAAGGATGTCACTTGGGACTGGGTCCCTGCTCCGAGTTCCCTACCTGGCAATTTGCTTGAAGCTGAGAGTAGTGACCGAACGTGACTCTGAGTCTGTATACTCTGCACATCCTGTGACAGTCTGCGTTGGGAATACACCGTCCTAGTGCTCCTAAGACTAAGTAGGAGGTCGTGCTCACTTTCCATCAGTTAACTGGATTCTGACCAGTATGCCAAGATTTGTAAGCCAGGAAGGGGGGGGGGGGGGGAGAGATCTAGACACCTGGCTGAAACATATTGCCCCTTTTGCAGGACTCTTGCCAGCATGTGCTCCAGATGGTCTGATTCAACATGTACGTGATATATTCGTGTGCTCTCTCTCTCTCTTTGCCGCTGCAGATGGATGATGCCCCACTGTTTGAAACTGTGCCCAGAGTGAGTTTTCCTTGACAAACAAGCTGTTCGGTATAGAGGGAGGTATCCGATATCATTCCTGATGCAGTAGCTATGAGCAAATGTTTGCCCAAGAAGTGCATAAACTAGTGGATCATGGTGCATTTTGAGCCAGTGTGCACTTCTCTGGTTGTCAAGTACCATGTTTTACATCACGGGCATCAGAGATGTACCACAGTGCTAGCTGCAATGGGCGATCACTTGGAGGTGCACCAGCGTGCTGGCTGCAATCCCTCCTGTGGATGGCAAATTTTAAGGTCAACCAGTTTTTTGTTGTTGGTTGCATGAACAAAGTGCTTGGGGTGTAAGTCGCAGGTGTGATTTTGGCTCATTTTTTGTGAGACAAAATTGTCGTCTGACCCCAGAAATATGATGGACTCGTTTGACGCCGGGCTGTTTGTTGTCCTATTGTGTGCACGTGTGTCACAACGTCCAGGGTAATTCTGTTGGCGTGAGACCCACGAAGAAGAGACCACTGCCGGCGTCCGTAAACAATGCGGGCTTCCTTGCCAGCAGTGAGGACGAGAGGGAGGACTCCAGACAGGGCGGTATCCTAACGTGCGACAACACCGGGCTGTACTCTAATGCAAAGTTTGAGGTAGGTACACGGCCTCGTGTCTGTAGCACTACTATGTCACACTCTCATTCTCTTTTGTTTTCCTGATGAGTCGTACCAAATCGGTGTCTGTTGTGGATGGGCTATGTTTCTTCTCTTATTACCTTATTGTCTCCAGTTACAGTCCATTCAGAAAAAGATGATATCCTAGCTTTTGGCCATAAACGGGTCAAATTTTGAGTTTCGTCACAATTGTTTTGGCAATCCCCATGGAATGCTCTTGCAATTGTGTTTTTGAAGTCTATTTCTCCAAAAAGCAAGCCATAACAAAAATAGGATTTGGCCAGGTTTTGCCCCCAAAGCACTGAATTGGGAAAAACCATGAAAATCCAGGCCGTTCACTCCACTTGCATAACGGTACATTTGCGGTTCGAACCCCGGTTGAGGTACCTTTTTTGGACCCTTTATCAAGTTTCGAATCTCGCGGCACTGCACAGTGTACCACAAAATCGCCAAATACGGGAGCTCTCCAGAGCCAGCGCTCATCTTTTTCGGAATGGACTAGAATATACTTGTACGTGTGGTTATTTTTCTGATTCTGGCTCTGTGTGGCTGGAACGTCGGCCTGGATATTGCATTATTATCGCAATGCTCTGTACACTTCTTGGACAACGTGTGTACAAGTATACGTGCATGCATGCGAACAGGCTCCTGAGTCCTGTGGGCAGTGCACATGAGCGGTGAGGTATACAGATGTGCTGCATTATCTGACTACTATGTGTGTGTGTGTGTGTGTGTGTGTTTGTTTGGCCTCCTCTCCTTTCCGCAGCCGTCGCGAATGTCGGCGTTATCGACCGGTGCTCCTGTGTCTTCTGCTATGCCAATGGGTGAGCACGAGGCCAATGCAAAGCGCAGCCGTATACACAACCTGGCCAAACAGCACAAAATGCACCGGTCCTTTCACGCGGATAACGCCTTTGCAGACCCTTTGGTTTCCGGCTCTCCGCCGGCCGGCAGATCTCGTGCTCAGCCAAAAGTCCTCAGTGATGGCTCTCTTGATGAACCAGTCTTGCAAAAGGTACTCATAATTATACGTTATGCTTGCATGCTACAGTACTTAACTGATGAATTTCGTCTCCTGAGTGATGAAGTGATCACGTTTTCAGTGGCATTGGTCAGCATCTATACATGTATATCGTTGTTGATGTTGATCTAGTGTGAAAACCCAGCGGCGCTGTACGCTGGTGATTCATGCTTCAGATTCACACCTGGCCAAACTCCAGTCCATGGTAGAGCAGTATACGTAATGTATCCATTGTGCACAGCAGATTCTGTGTCTCATTGCCTCTCGGTTTCTTGTTCACTCGTCCCCGTAGGCCGATCTTGAGCATCAAGGTTATCTAACTAAGCAAGGCAGCAAGGGCAAGGCGTGGAAGCGACGGTGGTTTGCTTTGGAAGGAGGAGACCTGACGTATTACAAGTTGCGGGTGAGTTCAGGGTGCATGCTTCACCAACTTGTGACTGTGCGCCTGTATGACTGTGACTATATGACCATATCAGTCTTTCAAGTTTATGATCCGGCCCAGCAGTCTACCTTGCAGCAAGTAACCACCCTCGGTTATGCATGAGAAAACTGGCGTTATTCATGTGTTGTCGTGATTTGTGAGGTTGAAAGTATGCATCGAAATGGTCACTAAGTCCGAAGATAGTGTCGTTAGTCATGAGGTTGACTGTATACGGTGCTGGAAAAAGTATGGGTTGGGATCATCTATAACGTTCTATGTTCATCCATTATGCAAGATGCTCTAACTCTTCTAAGCAAAACACTGGCAGCGTCACGTTATCTTGTCGATCTGCGCCTTCTGCACTATTCTGTTCTTAGGAGGACTGTGGTCGGCGGAAACCACGAGGGCGCTTACCACTCGGTGAACTTCAAGCTGTGTCCCGCGATGAAGATTTAACCCTGCAGGTCAGTGGAATCACTGGAATGTATAGCAGCATGTTAAGATCATCAAGAAGAACATACAGGAAAACTTGTCTATGCGACCACTCTGATAAGGCTGTCTACCTGTCCAACAGGACCACTACAACCAGGACCTGTGATTTCCAGACAAATGACCCTGGATAAAGTGACCACCTGTACACGGGGACCACATAATTTGTAAGGTCCCTTGAGCGGTCGTCTTAGACAGGTTCCACTGTACAAGGCATGCAGGCATGGATGTAATAGTGTTACTATTACTTGGGCGACAATGATCCAAGAGAATTTGTCACAGTATCAGTTGCTCTGAGCAAGGTGATGATATTGGTTGACCCCTAATTGCAGGTGATGCGGCTGATATTCAATGGAACACAGGACTCCTGTGAAGCTCAGTCCCACAGACTATGCATGCATCCATTGCTGACGTACTTGCTGGTCAGTTTGTGCCGTATTTTGATGATAATTCTGTTTTTGCTCGACCATGGCTGTCCTTGAAACATGCTACAGATCACCACTACCAGCAAAATGTACTCTCTAACGGCTGACTCAAGCTTTGAAGCCGATGCCTGGCTGAAGGGTAAGCTACCAATGTTTACTGTAGGATTGCATGATCTATTAGTAGAAGACAAGTGGACATTTAAGTGTTCAGGTTAAGGTGTTTGCCTATAGTATAGGGGTATGTGCTGAAGTCTACAATCAATCATTGAGCTGTGTTGCTTTGCAGGGCAAGCACACTGCTGTACCCACCCCATTTAGCCAGCTACTGTCTAGCCCCTCACCTGAGTAATTCGGGCCCCACCCTTTTGACTGTCCTCTGTGAAGTGATGGGTTTTCAAGTGGACAGCCATGTTCCAGTACGATTCGGTGTTGTGACCTCTACCTCTCTCTCCATCTCTCTCACACATTGTTTCTTGCTGTCCTTCTTTCTCTGGACCTCTCACAGTCTTTCAGAACATCTTACGGACCAGCCTTGGCAAGCGCGCTCTTGAAAAGGTGCCGACTCTGCTGCGACCGGAATACCAAGGTTGGGTGACGCGGGTAAGTTCCAACAATGGCAATGCTAGTAGTAGCCCGGCACTGTCATTACAGCATGATGTTTCTACTAGTGAAGCTGTCTAGTGACATCCAACCACTTAGCTCAGGAAATCCAACCTCCTCCCCCTCTCTTGCTCAGGAAATGCACCACTAGCTCTGTACTATGCACTGGGAGGGGCTGGCAACGACTGTTTCACATAGGGTGCAGGTATTGCATCGATGGTACGAGTTTCACTTTGCCCTTGACTTTGTACATGTGATGCTTTGGCAAGTTTTTGTTACTGTCGTCGGTGGCGATGAGGTATCATGCTACAGTAGCAAGTTCTCTTTGCAGGCCACTGAAAAAACGCTGAGTGCACTCACTGCCTGCTAGAGGTCACTATCAATATGGCGTGTCTTCTTCTTGTGCTGTAGATCCAGAATGGCCGGGCAAAGCGTTGCTGGGCGGTGATCGTCCGAGAAATGCTCCTCTTCTATCTGAGCCAAGACCGCGATGAGGTAAGGTCCACGAGCTGCATGCTGTACGCCTGTGCATTGCTTGTCATGGAGCGACGTTGCTATTGTTCAGCACTTGATTCAGTTTGAAGGAAGCGAGTCGGTGTGAAAACGTTCGTAAGGACTGCATTTTAGGTGCTTGCACTGCTCTGTGCGTCTCTTGATGTTGTGTGGATAATGTTGTTATGTCAGGATCCGTTTGCCGACGTATGTCTGGAAGAGTGCAGTCTCGGAGTTGGCAGCAACACGTCGAATGAGGAATCATCACGCTTCCGCAGTCAGCTGAGCTCGCCACTGCCTGAAAAGTTCACCATAACTCTGTTCAGCAATCGTGATGGAGCGACCAGTCCGACGCAGCCGCAAACGTCCCTCACTGTGTCCGGCAAGGACGAGAAGGTAACTCACACCAGACACGGTGACACTGCACTGCATAGATATAATTATTATGAGTGTCTTGTTAACTTGGTTTGCTTGCCTCATAGACTTCGCTGCTATTAAATGCACCCATTTCCCCGGATGGTGTCAGTTTTCACTGTTCGGTTTGTTAGACAGCCAGCCAGCTTACAGCCGTATTGTTGTCTGGAACCGTGACCATCTGTCGTTCTGTGATCCATTCAATTCTGCCCCGGTGACTGCACATGCATGATGGTCGGGTACTCTTTGTGGATACCTGTAAAAATCTAAAACTGAGTGTGTTGCGGTTGTGCGCATCAATCCAATATGTTTTCACTTAATTAATGCTGCTTCTTTCCACGCATGTGCATGTGTACTGGATCATTTGCAGAGCAAGTGGCTGTACCACCTTACAATGTCCTGCAAAGGCTTTGATGAGACGGACACAGAGAAAATAGTATCCATGCTGATGGACAAGCACCATCAGATGCTCTCGGACTTTGAAGGTAAGCACTAGGTAGTCAGTGAGTGCATCTTCCATGGCTGCTGGTATACATGCATCATGAATGCATTGTACTTGCATGAACACTAAAACAAGTAGATGAGACTAGTGTTACAACTCACAATCATGTGTGTGTGTGCGCTGGACATTGTCCCTCTAAGTAAAGGTATTTGTGGCATATCTAGGGTGGCCGTACAAACGATGTTGGTGTCCTGTGTAATGTTGGTGTTTGCCACACTCTTGCCCTCCTCTCTGTGATTCAATACGTGTGCTGCCGTGTGTTTTGCACTTTGTTGTACTGTGTTGTTGGTGTTGTTGTAGGTGATAGCAAGGTGTGGTGGAAACACCCAGTGTTGTCCTATTCAAGCAAACTCATCACACAACCACTGACCACACTGATGACGGATGAGCTGGGCCAGAAGGCGGTCGGCTTGTTCAAGGTTAGGCAACCTCTTGCACACCTACACCTAGTATGCATGTCCAGGAGTGTAACGATAACCGTATTTCCCCGAATATATGTCACACTGTTTATACTGAACTTCAGGGCCAACAAAGGAGTGCGCCTTACAATCCACCATGACTTACTCAGTACTGTAGCGAATATGTATATTTGTGGACTGTGGCCGCCAATGCACTCTGCAAATTGCACTGGAAGGAAAGAAAGTCACCAATGATCTCCGATTCTCCATGCATGCAATAAGAGTGGAGTTGGATTAAAAAGCACTATTGCCGTCTCTCCCCGTTAGAACAACTTTGTGGAAGTCTCACAAAGCAGGACGAGATTTTTACCAGTCTAATTCTATTGATCAGTCGATCACACTGTGACTGTGTATATACCAGCTGTCATTACTGTCCCGGCATAGGCCCCAATTTGGCAATTTCCGTATTCTCACACTTATGCCAGACCTTGACTCACTCCCAGTTGATGGTAGGTCTCCCGGCTGCTGTATGTGTGTGTGACGAATCCCTGTCCTCAATTCAGAACATCCAGCTCTTCTGTGAGGTCAAGGTGGAACAGCGCGGCATTGAGTACCACATTGCGCATGTCATGTCGCTGCTCAAGGACATCTTCTCCGAACCGGGCCTGCTCGACGAGGTCTACTGCCAACTGATCCGCCAGTCGCACAACCACCCCATCCCGAACGGCGTTCAAGTCCAGCAGGTAGGGTGGTGCACGAATGCATCGGATGCATGCCCCGGTGAAAGGATGTCGGTGTTTGCAACACACTATATACCTGCTAGGGGCACACTCTGTGACGCAGTAACCTTGGCACAAGAGGCTTGGTGCACCGCCTTCCGATCATTGGACTCTCTTGATTACGTAATTGCGAAGATGCGAAACTCGAGAGTCGCAGTGAATAATATCCACATGGGTATGTTAAAGAGAAATTATTCTGACTGTGTCAGGTGACGACTGCTTTAAAAATAGTTGTACTGCATTTTGGAAACTTAAGTCTTTCATGCTATTCGCTATTATCTTCCTGCAGTGCTGGCGTCTGTTGATCATCCTAGTTGCCTGTGGCCTGCCTAAAGCAAAGAAGTTCAACTGGTACCTGCAGCGACATATTCAACATCACTTGGATTATGAGTAAGACAAGAGACACCGCGCCCCCTCTTTGCTGTAAATGCTGTTGCACCGGGGGTACATGTACACTCGTCAGATGGGGTGAGGGGGGGTGGGGTGGGGGGGGGGGGGGGCATACCTGCAACTTGCGCAGACTGAGAAGTTACATACCGGTAGTATACTGCTAAGTTAGGTGCGTCATGTAATGCGTCCAAACGGTCTTGTGTTGTGTAATGATCTTAGCAAGTCATACTTTCCGTTGTTATGTACAGTGGCGACGTCGCCGTGTTGGCCGCATCGTGCCAGCGGTTGTTGAAGAGAGTTCACAGCAATGGTCCTCGCGCTTTGCTGCCCAGTCGCCTAGAGGTAAGTACTAGTAACTGGTGCATTCTGATTGGACGCTTAGTACCAGCTCTCCGCCGGGGTATTGCTCCAGCTGCATAGTACGTCCAACCTATTTGGATGTGCTACGTCTCCCTGACGACTAGCGATATGAGTAGGGAACACGACTTTTAAGGTGTTGCTCATATTGTGTTGGATTGTTCTTTGCACAACAGTGCAGTGACAATGTGCTTGAACTGCCTGACTTCTCACGTCATGAACCTCTAGTATATGTTGCTGATGGAATGTAAGGATGTCCACTGCCATGGTGTATGTATGTTTATTTTTTTTTTATTTCCTTTATTTCCCCATGTTTGTTTTTTTGCCCACGCCCATTCACCACTGGGAGACGAGATGTGAAGCACAATTGAAACCTGGCATGTGTTCCAATGCTGAGTAGTTTGACATGTTCTCCATGTGTGTGGTGTATATGTGTATGCGTGTCTGCGTTATGCCTGTGCGTGTGTCGCTATTCATGATGCGTATCAACAGCTTCACTGTCTCCTATTGGGTGACATGTCGCAGACAAGACCCGTCATGCTGCCCGTGGAGTTGATGGATGGTACTAAATATGTAAGTCCACTGTATAGCCTCTGTACACGTGTCCATTGTGTACTCTGGGTACAAAGGGGTATGTGAGTGGTCTACCCAGCCCCTCTCTCCCCATGTACACTGGCTCTGTAAGTTAGTCCACTGCCCAGCCCCTCTCTCCCCATGTACACTGGCTCAGTAAGTTAGTCCCCAGCCCCTCTCTCCCCATGTACACTAGCTCTGTAAGTTAGTCCACTGCCCAGCCCCTCTCTCCCCATGTACACTAACTCTGTAAGTTAGTCCACTGCCCAGCCCCTCTTCTTATGTACATTCTGCTGTGAGATGTTATGTGTACATGTGGAGGGTATTCGACTATTCGGACTAGGGTGAAGGGAGCGATCAAACTTCCCAATGTTTGTTTGTTTGTGTCAATTGCAAGACTGATCGTTTCGGACCCATTTCTCCGAGTTTGAAGTCAACATAGAGGCTGGATTTGTATCTTTATGTTCCTTGAAAGATCAGAAACTGAATGAAGACGTGCACAATGCCTTGGTATGCACTGCAGTCCAGATTGACCTTTTTCCCAATAACTGCCGGCATATGGTATGATGGCATGCATGTGTGCTTGCCATGCAGGCTGTGGAATGTGATGCCCTGTCACTGGTCCAGGAGGTCACTGACAACCTTAGTCAGGTCAGTTGCACCGGCCTGCTTATGTGCCTGCTCGGGCTCAGTGCTGCTGCTGCTGCTGCTCATGTCACGGGCTGCTCAGGCTGCCGTTTACTGTGTTCATTGATTGCTATTCCCAAGCAAACCATGTGGATTTTGTTAGCATAGTCTGACTGTGATCACAGTTTGCTTCCGAAATCTGATTGGACGCAGCACACATTACAGAATGGCCTCCTTTCATACTGGGCCCCACTTCCATCAAGTTCTCCAAATTCATGGAATCCCAAGTTGATGATGGCTGTGAGGGCTATATAGGGGTGGAAATGGAGGTGGACCCAAGATTATGACATACACTCTCACTCTTCAATGTAATACCACAGCATTGCATTCTGCGTCTGATGGTCATAGTGAAGTGCTAACGGTGTTTGCATTTCATTGGCGTTTGCTTTGTGATTTTGCAGAGACTTGGCCTGCGTGATACCCTGTGGAGCGGCTTTGCACTGTTCACAACCCAGCCCGGGTGCAATGATCAAGAAGAATACCTGAAGCCAGCAACAAAGGTGAGGAGGAAGAGGAAGAGGATTGTGACGATAGAGCTCAGTCAGCGGGTACCTGCGTGGAGTTTATGGTTGGAGGCTCGGGATTTGTGCCTACCGAGCCATATGAACAATTCACTTTATCCCTGTTCGGTCCTTGAGGGAATATTTGCTTTCACCTGCATTCTGATTGCCCTGAATCTGTTGTTGTGGTACTTCTCTCTGCTTCCCCACAGATCTGTGACGCAGTACAGCGAGTGGAGAAGGAGGCATTAAAGGACTTCCGCAATGGCCGTCTAGCTCCGGAGAAGCTCTGGCGGCTTGTGTTCAGGAACAGGTAGGCTGTGCTTGGCCAGTGGGTGGGTAGGTAGGTGTATAAGGGGTATGTGGGAATGTGTGTTGGGGATGTATGTATGTATGTGTGTGTGTGGGGGGGGGGGGGGGCATGACAGCAGGGTATCTGTGATTGCATGTTAATCAGGCAATGCTGTGTTAGGGCATTGATTAAACATGTACATGTACTGTAAAATCCCGCCAGAGCGCCCCGTCTCTCCTATCCGCCCCTCCTTGACTTCTTGTCAGGGACGTGATTGATTGTATCCTCGTATGACTCTGTCACAGTCTGTGATGCCGTACTGTACTGCAGACGCGTGCTCGACCCCATTGGAAGTGTACGCAACAGTGCCCACCCTCTTGACCAAGAATCGCACAAACCCTGAGTTTTGACGGGTCTCTACGACTCCTGGCTCTTGACCTTTGGTCGGTGTACGAGATGCACGAACAGTTTTCGTAGGGCGAGTACTTTTTCATGAAGCACTGAATGCGGCAAGTAGGACTCGCCAATCCGCCCCTCCCCGCCTGAAGCGTCGAGGAGGTAGGGGCGCTCTGGCGGGATTTTACGGTACCACTATACATACCATGCACAATATAGTCGTGTGTTGTATAAATTACAGTAAAACCTGCCAAGGCGACCACTCGGATAAGGCGACCACCTGCCCCAGAAGATCACTGCAACCAGGACCAAGAGATGCTAATTCCAGTCAATTGACCCTGGATCAGGAGATCACCACCTAGCAACAGAGACCCCGTTTTGAAGGTCCCTTGAGCGGTCGGCTTAGACAGGCTTCACTGTATGCCAGTTCATATCGTTGTTCATCTAGGGAATCCACGGTCTGTTGTTGTTGCCGATATTGCCATTATTCACAGCACGCTGGCATGTTTGGTGTTACTGTACCGCTTTGCTTCCAGGCTGTACTTCAAAGGCCTTTCCAACCAGGAGACGGATATGGAAAAAAAACTACTGCTTTTCCAGGTGAGGCACTCCATGCTGGGTGTATAGGTATCTGAATGACGCTCAGAACAGTTTACCTACTCAGTTTACAAGCGTATTTAAAGGGGAAGTGCATCGATTTTTCGAGTCTGGTCCAGAAGAAAGACAATTTGATATCGGTTCGAATGGCATATCTCTCGCTTCCATACGATAAGCCAAACTTGCCAAATCGCCAATTGTATACTCACGTTGCCATAGCGACCAGCGCAGTGATGACGTTCGAAAGGCTTAGCTCCACCACAGAGAAGGTCGATCACTGCAGAATTTGGTCATTTTCAATTGGTTTATTCACTTTATTGTATTCACGAAGTGAAAGAAGGGCTGTGTTCAATGCTGTTAGTGCAGTGAACTGTGTGTTAGTAGTCCTCTCGGTTGTGTACTGGGACGTGACACCGACAGGAGAAAGCTGGAGTGCGGAGACACCAGCAGACAAGCGAACATAGTGACGAACAAAATGCTGAAATCTTGGTTGGGACAAATCAAACGCATAGCCAGCAATCGCATGTCATCACGTACATTCAAAATCAACATAATTTTGCGAATCGACCTTTTTTTCAGGATCACTTTTCAACGAGGACGAAGCAAAGTCGGCCGAACGAAGCCTAGAGGAAGAAAATCACCCTCTCCACTTCACCATCACGATACTGACATAGATACGAGATGAAACAACTAAAAAATCCACAAGAAAACTGTACGGCCATCATCGCGCTGACTTTGGTCTGACTTTGGTCTGAGAATTTCTATCAAGATCAAAAATGTACGAGGAGCACTCAAAAATAAGCCACAGACGTACCTTTATCGCTCTCTACTCCTTTTTCAAGGCACAAAAGTCGACTCTCCACTTTCAAACCAGGAACCAGACATACCAGTGGTCCTTTTCAGCTGCTCCACGAGCGCAGGAAATGTTCACCAAGGGGCGCAGAGCAGCATCCATTCCAGAAAAAGAGCTAAAATACGAGTGAGACTGCATGCCTGAGTACATGAGTACAGGTCTGCTCTCGATATAACAACTCTCACTTGTACATAAACCTCGTTAGTACATAAAAAAATCAAATCCCGCGCCGAAACAGCATCACTCCCATACAAAATTTGTTCTACACAACATAATCCTACATAACATAAACCTCGACATAACACACGCTACGGCGGTCCCCGACGTGCGCACTCTCGATACAACATAAATTCACGTGCACGGTATGATCAAGCGGTAGCTGTAGCTAGGCATTTTAGGCCAGTTTAGTCCTACATAACGTAAACCTCGGCATAACGCACCCTACGGCGCAGTCCCCGACGTGTACACTCTCGATACAACGTAGATTCACGTGCGCGGTACAATCAAGCTGTAGCCGTAGCTAGCCAGTTTAGTCCTATGTGCATATATTCTGCAGCATTGATGGTATCTGATGTCGATGGTGGTACAGACAAACAGTGTGTATATGTTTGCACGGTTGAACCCGCCTTGTAATACCCTTCATTTTGAGGTGCATCTTGTATTTTACACACGGTTTTCTACATAACATAACTCTTGATATAACATAATGTTTGCGTGGTCCCAGAGATTACGTTATATGGAGAGTAGACCTGTACATGTATGAGTACATGCAGAAAATAGTCAATTTCAGCGTTTCTGCTCCAAACAGCAACTAGCTTCGATTAGAAACAAAGATTACACCAAAGGATCAAACAACAACCATTTTCTGCAGTTTTTTTGCAGATGGCTTCCTTGTGCTTGGCCCAGCACGCCAAAAATCACACCTCGGAGGAGTACAAAAATTACAACTCTCAGATGTCCTCGATTGCTGGCCATGTTCAGCATTTCCCCCAACCAAGGACCATGCCGTTTGCTCTTTCCACTTCCTGAAGATGAATGTGATGCTTCCTGGCGACTCTCCTATCTCTCGTAACATCTTCTGAAGCCAGGTGCGACGACGGGTGGTGGAGATTGACGAATGAAATAATGTCGTAGGTTTGAAAATTTGCTGAAAATGTCTCAGGAGAGACGGCGAATTCCAAGCATCTTGTCCTGGACGAAACCATTTCCTAGGCACAGTCAGCCTAGGGAAATGCATGAGAAGGGCGATAAATAGTTCACGGGCACTAACAGCATTGAGCACAGCACTTCTTTCACATCGTGAATACAATAAGACAATTGAAAATGACCAATTTCTGCAGTGATCGACCTTCTCTGTGATGGAGCTAAGCCTTTCATACGTCATCACTGCGCTGGTCGCTATGGCAACGTGAGCATACAATTGGCGATTTGGCAAGTTTGGCTTATCGTATGGAAGCGAGAGATATGCCATTCGAACCGATATCAAATTGTCTTTCTTCTGGACCCTACTCGAAAAATCGATGCACTTCCCCTTTAAGCCTGACCTTGACATGTGTACAATCATGTATATAAGTACCGAATGTGCTTCTTCTTTTTTCTTTTTCTTTTTTTAAGAGCTTACCATGCTGATTGGCTGCTTCTCTTGCAGATCCACGAGGATGTTGTCAAAGGACGGTTCCCTGGAAACGAGGAGTTTGCTATTGATATGATGGCACATGTCATGCAGGTATGGCGGACCTTGGCGGTTACTAGTATTGCTTTGAATAAAATGGACACTGATGGTCCACCAAAAATTAAGCAGATTTTCCTCTCCTTTTTGGATACAGGTTCAGTGTAGTGCTGGCCAGTGACCGGTTCCTACTCAATTATTCGATGATTTGTCCTTTTAAACACAGTCTAGCTGCTTTAATGCATGCCAGCTTTAATGCATGCCAGCTTGCCATGCTTATTTGCTCTCACAGTTATGAATTTTGTGTGCGGACAGAGAAAGGTGTTGATCCCCGCGCCCCAGTTGCTTCGGCTCGATTGTCTTGGTATTCGCAGGGCTGGCTGTTTGTTTCATTTCTAATCGTTACGGATGATAAAACACCACTATGTCGTAGGAGTGTGCCGCGATGTTTGAATGTCATGTGTTTTGCGGTGCCCAGGTTGCACAGGGGCCTTGTCCGGCTGGCCTGAACTCTCATCAGCGACAGGGAGCGCTGACCTACTGCGTCAACAACTTCTACCCAAAACGCTTGCTGGAGGAGAGCACAAAGACCGAAATCCAGTAAGTCCGCCAGGCAGTCTGGTCGTCTGATTGATATAATTATATTTTCAAGGATTCTCCAGAGGCAAATGGATGCCTATCAAAGGGAGTCTCCTGGGGAAAGGAAGTGAAGGTGGCTGTTATGAGGGAGTCTTGTGGTATGCTGGGCAAGTTGCTGTTCTCAAGTTCAGAGGCAGTGCAGGGATCTTGGATAGTATGCATAGTCATACGGCCCTAGATACCGAAAACTGAAAAAGGCCTCTCCACACACTTGTGTTGGTGGGCTAAAGTTCACCACTCGATGGCCAGACAGCTGATTGTTCCGCCCACGTGCAGAAACATTCACAGCATTTGGTGAGCGAGTAGTACTAGTAGTCTTTCGAAGCATGCAAGTAGGTACAAGCAGGTGTTCAATGCTGGAGTGTTTGAAGAGTAATGCTCGAATTCAGAACTAGGCTGTATAACAGTGGACGGTGACTTTGTGCTTGTACTGCAGGAGACTAACACAACGCCTCTGGGTGAAGTGGGACGGGCTTCGGCGGACAGCAAGGGACGAGTGCCTTGCAGCGTATTTGAGAATGGTGCGCCGCTGGCCGTTCTGTTCGGCCGTCTTCTTCCCTTGTTTGGTAAGCCTTGCATCTGCCATGATAAGACAGATTTGTAAACCATGCCATTCGGTAGAGGGCTTACAGTATTTCCTGAGGCTTGGCAAGATACAAGAAACCAAGATGAACAAACTGGCGTATACATTTCGTTGGTCAGCTGCCAGATGGTTTAGCTCTCGCACTGAGCATGAAATGGAGTCGATCTTTCTCTCTTTCTATATGGCCAGGTACAGACTGTTTAGGCTGGGTGTGTTGCAATGATGTCATGCTGGGGGCATACATTTTTGTCGAGAAGTTCAAGCTTCCACCCTTCACCTCTTTCTTCCGCTGTGCAGGTACGCGGAGTCGATACTTCATCATTTCTTCTTGCCATTCAGGAGGATAGTGTGTCGTTTCTGCGAACGGACTCCATGGTAAGCTTTCTAAAGAAGTGCTCAAACAAGCCCACCGAATACTCCATTGCTCGATGTGAAACTAGGGTTGCAAGGAATATTCGAATATTCGATTGATATTCGTTTGGAACCCGATGGAAGGAATATTTTCCCCTTAGAATATTCGTTCGTTTTGACACGTGCGCATACTCTGCCCTTGTGTCGATCTATCGTAGTAATTCTTGAACGGATTGAGTGATATGTACATGTGTTATGTGGTGAGAAAGGGGACCATGACTCACAAGAGTAGTGGACTTGACTCCACTAGACATCTACTTGGTCTAGAACATCCGGGGACTCGCCAAACTCTTTTTAAGGTTCTTTTGGTATAGACTATTCGATTCGTTTACAAAGAAAATCGATTTCGTTCCTATTTAAATATTTGTTTCACCCTTACAAATAATTCAGCATTTCGAGAGAATATTCGTTATTCGTTCGTTATGGGTGAGTATTCGTTCGTTTCTGAAATAGAATATTCGTTGCAGCCCTATGTGAAACCAAACGATTGACTGTAATTGCCACTTGATGCGGTGTAATTGATATTGAACTCGGGTCTTTGAGCGTGTACATGCAGTAGAAGGTAGTGGTGGGCATCCAGCACTAGCCAGCACTAGCCAACACTAGCCAACACCATCCTGAGCCAGAGACCAAAGGGATTTTGAATTTTGGGTGGATTGTTCCTTTGGGAATCTAGTCAATGATTTTTCAGTGAGTTCAAAGCTTGTTTTGGCTCGTAGCACCTAGCATTTTAATCCATGGATCATTGCACCATGGCTCAGCATATACACATCAATGCGAATGCAGGTGTAGGAGACATATCGCCAGTAGTGCTAAGCATACATGTACATACATTGCTGCAACAGGAAGAAGAGGATGAAGATGTGCTGTGTAACTCCGAGTTTCACGCACGGGGCGAGCATCGGACAACAGTAACGAGAAAATCTAGATGTAGACGCCGGTTTATTAGACATGCTTGTTGTAAGTAGCTCTGCCCTTGGCCCGGGCGTCGAGCACTGTACTGGACAGCTAGGAACCGGCTTTCTGTTGTACATACTTTGTTGTTGCTGTTGTTGTTGTTGTTGTTGTTGTTGTTGTTGTTGTTGTTGTTGTTGTTATGTGTGGATGCTGTGCAGGACTTGGACCACTGCTATCGGTACGACCAGCTGCTGACGTTTGGTGGCTGCGATGGTGATCTGATGCTGGTCATTCAGCACTCCACCAAGAAGCTGAGTGCAGCCGCGGCTCGACGCAACACACCAGTCTCTATAGGCGCCTCCACGGGAGCAGAGACTCTGGAGAAGAGTGGAACGCGAAAGGTGCTCCTGCAGATGAAGCCGGAAGATGTAAGGATACTGTTCAAATGACTCTGCCTATTGTGATGCAACACCAACATGTTTTACACCTTGCCCCAGAAGAAACTATTAAAAAATTGACTTGTTGTGTGTCGCCATTCTGAGAGAGAGTTTGGTGATAGTAACTTTGCTCACCCCAATCCCTCTGAATGATAATAGTAATAATTATTATTATTGTTTTCTTTTCTTGTCCTCATCGACACCCAGGTGACGGCTGCAACTCTTACCATTGCCAGCTATATCCGGACATGTGAATTACAGCAGGAAGCCCTGGAGGCAGCTGCCACTGCCCTTGGACTCTAGTCCGACCATGCAAGACCCAGAGTCAGAAACGTGAAACCAGCTATCGCCACTACACTTGCCAGATTCGCTAGGCTCTTGCGGTGAGTCACCGTGTGCTTATGTAGAATGGTCTGAGGCCGGCTATGACCGTCATGCACTTGAGCATGCAGCTATAGCACCAGCATCACCGACAATAGGTTATGGCAAGTTCAGGTGGTATGCCCTCCCCTCAACCCCCCCCCCCCCCCCACACACACACACACACACGCACACACTGCATCACAGAGCAATAACAGTTAGTAGAACTACTTTGAGCTCTTTTTGGCAGAGACAGATATAATGAAGACTGGGACTCTGTTTTAGGTGCATTGATTTTGCCTCAGAGTTGATCGCACCACGTATCACATATGTGCTTGAGCTACTAATCGAATCATAATTATTATTGAGCAATGTAGCTGATGATGGTAACTCCAAGATTAGACGAAGAGTCATCAGTATAGTATTGGTGTTTCATTTATATGCTGTCGCTACAATGACACCTAGTGAATTCTCCGAAAGAGCTGAATTTATCATTATCTCGCCAAGCAGATGCTGTTGAATGATAGCCCGGATAGATATCTGCTAGATTGATATTGTAGGAGAACCCAGCTGTGCAAATTCTTCCTGCCAGAATTGTAATTAATTTAAAGAGATTTAAAAAAAAGATCTATATTCTATCATCATCAATTCTGGTGAAATATTGAAATTTTCATAGATTTTCGCAATGTTATTCCGAGTCATGTTTTGAGCTAAGTACTTGAAGCAAGCAGTGAGAGCATGCATGGACTGTCTTTCCAGAAACTGACCCTGGTTGGTCCCCTGGGGGAAGGAAAAAGACCCAAGTGGCATCAGTATGACTGTGTGCGGGCACGCGTTTTGAGCTGCCTTTGGAGTGAAAACCTGACAGCGCCTTCTAGTGTCGGCCTGGTTCCACAGCACGGGTGGATAGAGCATGCAGTGCTCATGTGACTGGAGCAAGATCCCGGGTTCAAGTCCTTTTTAGTCCTTCTGGGGTTAGCATTTTTCAAGTTCTCTTTTCAGGCAGTTCACTTCACTGACACTTACATTGAATAAGTTTTCCCACTCCTTTCCGAATAAACTAGTAAATTAAAGGTCCCAACCTCGGATTTATGGCCAAGAAGGAACCTGTACTACAAATCTTTGGTCTCGGTCATTATAATAATTATTATTATAATTATACTGGCGTGTGAATTAGGGAGTTGTGCACTCTCACTGGGGGTTGTGCCTTTGCTGTGTGCGTTACGCGGAGCTCGCTGACTTGCCAAGTTGTCAGTTTGAGCACTCTTGGCTAGGTACGTTCAGCTTGGTTCAAGTTAATTTTTTAAAGTCTGGCTTTGAAAAATACTATTTTTTCGCCTAATTTTCTCCGGCTGTGCTGTGTACATGAGTCCACAAAGGACGACAGAGAACTTCGCTCCTGCTTTGATGGTAGTAGTAAAAAACGGACTCTCGTGTTGGGTAGTGCCTTTCCTATTTTACGTGTGTACGCCGGCGGAGCTCACTGACTTGTCAGTTTGAGCCGTGACTCTGGCAAGGTACCGTGATTCGGCCTGGTTAAAATCTGGCGTTGAAAAATATGTATTGCTATCAGGTTCGGCCTCATTTCTGATTTTCTCTGTGCTGCGCTGAAGAGGTCACGAAGGACGAAACGCTGAGTCCCGTCCGCAGATTGAGTACAACTATTATCGAGAGTAAGAAGCATACTCTTGCTAGTATTTTAAAGAAAACATAAACAAGAGCGTGCAAATCCGCTTCGTTTGGCCCACTGTGGAATCTTTGTTGACGTTACCTTTTCTGGAGATCATGACTGAGTCAGTATAAAATGGGCGCTTACGGTAATTCTTTTCCAGTCATCCAACAACTCGACCTTCGCTGATGAGGTCTGGATGACCGAAACAGCTGTCACTGAGTGCCAGAAGGAATAATATTCCAGTGCTCCGAAGGAACCTTTTAGGATGTGCCGGTGTGGTGGGCCTACACAGAGCGCAGCACAACGACGGCGGTGGCACGTGTAGTCAATGTACCGGCGTAGACACCAGACCTCCGGTACAAATATAATAGTTTTCTGCCCTCCCCCCTCCCCCCCCCCCCCTCACCCTATAATAAAGAGCTCCCCAGATCTCGCGGACGTCGCTAGCAAAATCCGAGCACATCCGTGTACCGGGTACCTTTCTGACCCATCTAGAGTCACAAAAAGTGGGCTTTTCAACGAAAAATGGACCCCAAGTTATTGATTGGCACGCCGATAAGTTAGCGATAACAAAATGTTTACTTCCATGCGGTAAGTATGTACAATCACAGTCATGTGCAGTTTGGAGAGCATACACTTTTGTATACGTACACTATTGTGCAAGTCACGCACTCACGATAAGTCACGCGGCGTATCGCGAGTGTACTGTACATGTACATGTATGTTCCGAGTTAGGGGCAATCAGTCCTTGTTGCGGGCAGAGCTCGGTCCCCACTTGCCCGGATAAGGTGAGTTTTACTACCTAGGCTGCTACATTGTGCAGGTACATGTACATGTACATGATTGTGGTCTTTGTTGGGATTGGAGATAAAGAGGGCCCACCGTGTTTTGACTTCATACGCACATACATGTACATGTACATGACTGTATGCGGTTCATACTGCATGTATTCAAGAAGGAGCTTCGCAAACATTTCTGTAAGTATTCAGGTCTACTCTCTGGCATGCCGCTACCTTGTGCATAACAGTCCCCCCCCCCTCCCAATCTGGACTCTCTTGTACCATCATCCTTCAATGCTACGGACCCCACGGTAGGCGGACAGTCAGTCTTTGGGTCATCCTAATGAAGTTAGTACAGTCAACTTCGCTAATAACGATTGCGGATATAACGACAATTCGCGAATAACGATTGCGGATATAACGACAATTCGCTAATAACGATTGCGGATATAACGACAATTCGCGAATAACGATTGCGGATATAACGACAATTCGCGAATAACGACAGCATTTCCATGCCCAGAGCAAAGTCCCTTCCAACTGCAATACATAATGAGACGTCGGGTATAACGACACTTCGCGAATAAGGACACTTTTCTGATGCCCCGCCGGGTGTCATTATAAGCGAAGTTGACTGTACCAGTACTTCGAAGTATTATTACGGTATTATACGAATGTGCCTTTATGAACCCTCTACACTTTCAATTACTGTATAGCACGTTTATTTCGATGTAGTTTAAATTTCGGCAACTTCGGTACTGGTCCTGGATCACCTAATTTAACATTAGGCCATGGTAAAAAATTATCTTTGATTCTCAAGTACGCACGCACCAATTTTTGGCGGTGCACCGACGATTTTTTAATTTTCTATGCATGCATATGCGCGCATGAAAACGGTCAATGCGAAAGGCATGAATCAGGGAGTAGTAAAATACCGGTATTTTTCTACTCCCTGGCCTGAGAGGTTATGCGAATGACGTCACGAGGAGCGCCAAGGCGGCTGCGAGTGGCAGGGGTGGCAAAATGAAGTCGTTTCTGCTTGAACTATTTTTTACTAGTCTTTGAGAGGAAAAGTAAAATTTGTTGTTGGTTGTCGACATATCGTTCCTCACTTTTATTTTAATTTCCGCTGGTGTCTCGCTTGCTGAAGTTTTTAGCCTTCAACATGCCGAAGAGTTGTGCAGCCGTCGGATGTAGCAATCGTGCCGATCCTGGAACGGCTGTGAAGTTTTACAAGTTTCCTGTAGCGGACGAGCGGCGCAAACTATGGGTTGCGGCTATGAGACGAGAGAATTGGAAGCCAACTGACAGTAGCAGGATCTGTTCAGACCATTTCGTAGGCGCAGAGAAGAGCAACGATCCACTATCTCCCGCTTACGTTCCGAAACTTTTTGAACATGTCAGGACTCCTGTAAAGCGTAAAGCGGAGAGGGATTTGGTGGCATATGAACGCCGAGCGAAGCGGAAGCTGACGTTCGAGAAGAGCAAGACGCAGACACCAGTGAAAGTGGACGCCTCCGGGAATGACTTCACAGAGGCAATGGCAGATTTGCCTGGTGCCTATGGTGCAGAGGTAGAGTCTGATCCTGTAGCAGTCTCCAGTGTCTCATCGCAGACTGACATGGATATGGAGCACTTGACGCGGCTGGAGGAGACAAACAACTGTTTGGTCCTGGAAAGCAAACGGATGCCACACGCTCCAGGACAAGGTGACACCTTGTCAATCGAGTCGTTTGAGAAAGACAACGCGAAGGTGCTCTTCTACACTGGTTTGCAGTCTTTTGGGACCATGATGGGCATATTTGAACACGTGAGGAAGAGAGTTCCACAGCACCACCGCCACACGCTCTCTCTCTTCCAGCAGTTCTTGATTGTTCTCATGAAGCTTCGGCTGAATTGTCGGGACCAAGACTTGGCGTACAGATTCGGCATTCACCAGTCGACCGTGTGCCGGATTTTCCAGCGCTGGATCCGGGTGATGCATGTGATGCTGGGACCACTTGTCAAATGGCCGGAAAGGGACGAACTACGCAAAACTCTGCCACTTGAATTTCGTAAGCATTTCCCGGGCTGTGCTGTCATTATTGACTGCTTTGAAGTTTTTTGTGAACGACCTTCTGATCTGATGGCAAGAGCTCAAACGTACTCTCACTATAAAAGCCATAACACTGCAAAGTTTTTGATTGGCGTAGCGCCACAAGGTGTCATTACATTTATTTCGCATGCATGGGGCGGGAGAGCCTCAGACAAGTTCATCACAGAGCACTGCGGTCTGCTTAGTCACCTAAATCCGGGTGACCAGGTGCTGGCTGACCGTGGTTTCACTGTTGAAGACAGCGTTGGCATGTTCTGCGCAGAGTTGGTGATGCCCCCATTTACGAAGGGGAAGAAGCAACTCTCCAGGCTGAAATTGGACAGTGCTCGACAAGTGTCACGCGTCCGTATCCATGTGGAGCGAGTGATTGGAATGCTTCGCCAGAAATACACGATCCTCTCTGGCACTTTGCCCATTGCTTTCCTCATGCATGACGATAAAGCTACATCATGTGCATTCATTGACAAGGTTGTCACCGTCTGCTGTGCTCTGTGCAACTGTTGTGAGTCCGTGGTACCTTTCGAGTAAATTACATCATGCCGCTTTGTCAGCTGTAATGATTGCTACATTATTATTATTATATTATTCAAATTTATTATTAACCCCTTGTGCTTTTTGGACTGTCTGGATATACCGGCAATTATATTTCTGTTTTACCTATTCTGCAGTTGCATGCGCATGTGTTCACCTCATTGACCTCGCTTGTTTCTAGTTTCTTTTGTCTGGCTAGCCAAGCTTGCTTGGTCATGGCAACGCCAACAGACTTATAATAATAGTAATAATAATGGCTTCTATCATCACTCACGACATGCCTCCGTTTCTTGTTGCATCAATATAATGACTCGTGGTCCAAATAGGGACAACACAATATAATAATTATGAATAGCCCTGAAACCCAACTTAGGGTGCTGGGTAGTGCGCGATGTACCATCAGATGTAGTATGCCCAGCACCAAAGAACAACTCAACTTATGCCAACATCACCCGGAAGAGACGTAAAGAGCGAAGTGTTTGATGTGTAATGATGGAGTAATGATGGAGTTCCTCTGCTCACATGCATAAGCAGTGAGTGGTCTTCACGCATGTCCTGGGACCCACAAATACGAATCAGCATTATGGTCCTTCAGAGATACATGCAAGCAAAGAAATACAAGAAAGGTAACGGAAAT